AAAAAAATGTATTGCTATTGAAATGTTAGAATGTGACTACTTGACAGGCCACCTTCAAATTCAAGAAAACTAATCAATCAAGTCATAAGCTGAGAGCAAGTAAGGGCTGTTTGATATGAATACATATTAGATACTATCAGCTCCTCTGTGTTATGTAGTCACTCTACAGAATATTTCAATCCTTCAGTCGGTGAATTATAAATTTTACCCAAAAAATTTAGCTTGAAAAATTGTTTTGCAAAACCTAAAGCAAAACTGTTGAAAAGTAAACAAGATTTAGGTTCAAACTAACCACCGACAAATGGCAAAGATTCCTGAGAGGTACGCTTTACTTCACACTTTTAATTTTTGCTGGGTTTTTAATAATACTTTGGTGTACAACTATTGTTTATATTCTTCGATGTTATTGGTAATTGATGCATATGCATTGTAGATGACTTAATCCTTAGTTCTCAAGTAACATTCTGATTGGTTAACTCTTTTCAAAGTGGCCCAGTCCACAAAGTCGCACTGTGAACCCTTTCTGGCAAAACCAAAGTACTGCAAACATACTGTATGAATAAAAGCTTATGTGTTGAGAACTTCTGAGGGATTTAGATCCTGAATATGTTGAGGTATCCTATTGCCTGTCAAGAACATGGCAACTTCTGAAGAGAAGCTATTGCAGTTGCGTTTAAAAAGGTGGTAATTGTCACCTCTGTTAGGAATGAACAACAACAACAAATTACAACGTTTTACATGCATAAATTAAGTATGTTGTATTTTATAAAATTATCATGGCATTTGTTACAAGTATAAATTGTTTTATATTTCTTCACCAGAATTATTATTCACATTTAGAGTCCTCTTTTTTCAAAAGAAGTAACATGGTACCCCCCACCCCCCATTCAAAGCCATTTTGCAATTAGCACCCTTATTCCAGATCGGCTACTTTACAACAAGTTTACATAACTTTGTCATTTAAAAATATTAATGGTAATAATAACATTAAAATTTATACTGCACAGTTTCTGTAAAAATATTCAACTGCACCTTACCATAACCTATTACTTAGGTAATGTTAAATCAAAATCCCATTAAATGATTTTTACTGAATATTTTTTGGGATGGGAATGATTTGTTAAGTGCTAGTTTTAGTCCCAGGAAGGTTACTCTGGATTTCAAGTGACAGGGATGATCAAATGGGGGCAAAAATCAAAACCCCAAAAAATCCCTCAGGCTTCAAACAAAACCCCCAAAAATCCCTAAGGCTTCAAACAAAACCCCAAAAAATCCCCGGACCAAAATTTAACTCCAAAAAAATCCCATGCCAAATTTCCAAGCCATAATAATTTCCTGAAAGTGCTAAATGATATAACTCAAAAAATAGAAACATTAGTAATGGAATGTTTATGTTTGTTTATCCATCACACCATCTGGGAACTACTGTTCCATGAATCTTCAGATTGTTTGGAATACCCAAAAAATCCCTATTTAAATCAAGCTACCCAAACAAATACTTGCCAAAATTTTCCTACCCCTAAAAAATCCCCGAAATCAAAAATTTCAAGCCTCAATTGAAATCCTTCGATCCTCCCTGTCACTTGAAATCCGGAGTACCCAGCTGGGGTTTGGTGACAAACCTAAAATTTTGTTGTTCAATTCTACTTAAGAAATCCATAAAAACATCTTGGGTGACCTCTGTGTCTCCAAGATCAAGCATCTCATCTGGGCTACCAAGAATTGTTCCACCCTCAAAAAATCAATAATCATTGCACAACATGAATATAAGAATAATATCAGTTATACCAAACTGAGACAATATCCATACCTCCCCCATGGAAGGGAAGGTCCCTACCCCTCTGGAAATTCCAATTAAGCCAAGTAATCATACATTACTTTAANCTTTAAATTGTTTGGTCTTACAGAACCCCACCCACCCAGGAAATTTTAATCCTATCAGTGGGGGAAGTATGGATATTTTCTGGAACTACACAATTTAACTAAAAGAAGTACAAAGAAAAACCCTATCAAAACTGGTTACGAATCAATGGGGATGAATAAAGATCTTTATTATATGGCAAGATAGTCTTGAGGTTAATCCAAGCATTCTGATTGGTTCTTTCTTGGTCGGGATTTTTGAAACAGTCATAAGCCATGAATTTTCTGTTCTTTTTTTTTTTAAGCTGTCAAGTGCCATAATTATAATAAACACCATACTGACTTAGCTTTGGGAAGTGCAGTGACCTCATGGTTAGTGTCCTCGCCTCCAGATTGAACAGTCTGAGTTCTAGCCCTAGTCTTGGCTTTATTTATAGAATATCAATAGGGCACGAAACTTAAGTTTGAAGGTAATTTTCAAAGTAAATGTTCATAATGGACCTTTTCAGTGATACGGCAGCTATTTTGAATTCTATTGTTTCAAATAACTATTATGGAATGCTTAGGGGGCAAATACATACTAATTTGTCCCCTGAACATCTCACAAGAGAATTCAAAATGTCCCCTCTATTGCTGAAAAGGTCAATGGATTGCAACACTAAGTAACAGCGGTACTCAAATGTAATTTGGTAACGTGGCAACTAGCCTTAACACCTTGGAAAGCCTAGATAAGTTGAATCATGTGTACTGAAGGCATCTACAGTTCAGAGGCAAGCGATAACCTTGATCAATACCCCCAGTGGACCCTCACTCAACACTCCATCGACAACTTCATTGACACTTGATCAACATCCCAATCGATACTTGGTCGACCGTAAGTCAACACCCAATCGACAGTCGGTGGATAGTCGGCAGATAGTCGATAGAGTGTCAACCGACTCATAGGTATCAATCAAACATTAGTCTTCTGACTCTCTACCAATTGTCAACTGAGATGCTGATCAAGTGTTGCTCTTAATTGTCAAGCAGCATGTTGATTGATTGTTGATCAAGTGTTGATCGAGGGTTCATAGAGGATATCGAGCGACACTCGACTGCAGACACCTTTAGTAAACACCATCCAATACGTTTTAGGGGTCAACTCTTACAGCATGCTTCGCTTGACAACCAGTCGCTACAGTAATATAGTTCGTGATTACATGAGTACAGCACTTACTGGAGAACAACTGGATATGCCATCACCACCATAAAAGAATTCTCTATCGTAGCAAACCAAGCCTGTATGCCTTCAAGTCAGAAAACAAATTCGACTTACACGTACACGTACATGTATGTAGCGCCGCAAGAAATTTACTGCACACTTAATGTAACGCAAAGAAGGAACACAAGTAGGTCACATTTATGTCCAAGGAAACTAAATTAAGGAACAAATCAAACTTAATAAGCTTATGGTAAAAGCACATACCAAACTCCATCAATTCTCTTCCCTGCGAATG